GACCCCCGTGTGCTACTGCAGCTCACCTGTGGGGGCGTCGGGGTGGAGCCGCTGCGGCCCCCTGACATGATCTCCTCCGTGATGTCCTGGCCTCCTCGGTTAGGATCTCTGATTCTGATCTGTGGAGTGAAAGCAGAGGGTTAGCAGCTGGGAGCAGACCCCCTCCTATTGGGAGCAGACCCCCTCCTATTGGGAGCAGACTGGGAGCAGACCCCCCCCCCCTACTGGGAGCAGACTGGGAGCTGCTGCTTCTAAATGGTGTGAAGCGTAATCAGGTTTGACAGCAGCGGCCTTCCTCTGAAGCCGTCCTGCTCTCCGTCTGTCGATCATGTGCTGTTTATGAAATCAGACCCAGTAAGGAAGCTAAGTGCTAGCAGACAGCTACTGGGCTCAGACTGGTCTATACTGGTTTCAATCAGCTGCTCTCTGACCTACTTTCTAACTGTTTGCTTACTGACCTTTACCTGCTCCGCTCCATGAGCAGCACCGAGCCGGCGGGCCTCACAGCAGAACTTCAGCTCCTGCTGGCTTCATGCTGGACTTTCAACTCCACAGAGCAGGTAGAGGGACGGATACACGGCAGCTTAGTCCCATGACACTCAGAACCGGGCCAGAACCAGGCCAGAACCGGGCCAGAACCAGGCCTGTCTCTCAGTAAGCTAGCTAGCAGCCTGATCAAGCCTCTGTTCTGGGCTGAGCAGAGCAGGGAGGGAAAAAAGGCAGAAAGAGCCTGGCCTTGTAAAGCTGTGGAGAAGGAATGTGAACCCCCGCCCACAGCGAGAGGGGGCCTGAGAGGGGAGGAGGGGCATGGCAGGGCGAATGGGACGCTTTCCAGCTCACAGAGAAAGTTACCAAATAGGCAGCAGCTAGTAGGAGAAACTCCCCTTCTGCAGCACTCTGTGCAGATCAGACCGTCTGAAAGCACAGGAACTAGAGCAGGAAGGGGGGGGGGGTGCCACAGCAGCAGCCCTGCAGGCTGAGGGGGGAGGAGACCAGAGTCCACGTGGACCTCAGCTATGTGCTGACATGTCCTCCAGCCCCCTCCCTGCAGGACTTTCTCCCTGAATCAACGTTAGCTTAGCTTAGCTGGATCAACATGCTGATTAAGACCAACTCAAAGAAGCTAGCGTTACGTCATTTAGCTGCGCGGACCCCCCGACCCATCAGCCAGGCTTAGCAGCAGCTTCTGAGCTGCTGGTTTGGACTGTTGGACGTTTCTGGAACCAGGAGACGTAAATAAGCCCTGAATCCAGAAACTGAGCCGCCCTCAAAGCAGTTTCTGAAACAGACTGACTTTGTCCTGCATGATGGCGGCCGTCCGTGCTGCTAAGATGGCGTAGAACGTCGTGGTTGCCCTGACAACGATGATGACATAATGCCGGGTCCATGTTTCAGTTTTTCAGTTTTGTTACCTGGCTGATAATAAAACGGAAAAGATCCGTTTATGGAGAACTAAGGAGCCGTTAGGCCACAGCTGGGTGGCTAACTGCGCTCAGTAGCTAACAAGTTAGCCTCTGCTAGCTCCGTCTGTTAGCCAAACTAAGCTACAGCACCTTAAACTATGTTTGTCTTTAGCGTCGCCTTGTTAGATGACAGAGCTCAGTCTGTCCTTCAGAGGTCAGGATCAGCCCAGCAGGTCTGGTACCGACTGCGACCCAAATAAGCAGAACCGCAGCCTGCAGGACGTCACAGTTCCTCCTCAAACATCCCGTCTGCTGGGCGGCAGCAGCTGCGTTACGTAGATAAAAACATTTAGCCAGGCCAGGCTGGGCTCCTATCTGACCTGACCCCGCCCACTGCTGACATTTCAGGAAACACCGCAGCGTTGAAAGGAGAAGAAAGTCAGGAGTGCGAGGATGGATCCGGGTTAACCAGGATGGGTCCGGGTTAACCAGGATGGGTCCGGGTTAACCAGGATGGGTCCGGGACCAGAAAGCAGAGGCCGTTAGAGGAGATGAACCTCCCAGATCATCGTTTGGGTCACATGAGAGGTGGGCGGGGCTCACAGACTCATCAAAGCGGCCATTAGCACGAAGCAGCTTAGGCAACCATCTTTAGAAGGTATGACGATGATGATGGCGGAACAATCAGAAACGCTGAGGAAGATCTGCCCTAAACAGACGACTGAGGCTTCAGAACTAACCGGATCGCTAAAACCCAACGATGAGGAGGAGCTTCCCTTCAAAACGATCATCAGGACCGGATCAGGAACTGGAAACTCTACCTGTTTGCGTTCCCGCTTGGTGGGGACCTGCTGAGGGGGCTGAGGCGGAGCCTGCTGCTGCTGGGGGGCCGGATTCATGATGACGGGTGCTGCCTGCACAGAGGGGGGGAAAGGAGGCTGTGCAGGGTAGTAGGTCCCTGTAGAGGATGAAGCAGAAACACGTTTGGCTGCTCGGCTCAAATGCGACACATCAGTGAGACACATCATCAGAGGCGCTGATGGAATCTGCATAGAAAATACTTCAAACTCCGTTAACCTCCATTATTGAAGAACCATAACTAGTTATAGTTTCACCATAACTAGTTATGGTGAAACTATAACTAGTTATGGTTTCACCATCCAGAACTCAGAGCTTCAGTGTTTAACACCACGTCATGCTGCAGCCTTTAGATGAATCCACAGGCCTGCAGGGATCCTTCCTAGTCTGGAAAATAGTTTCCTGCTGTATAAGAGGAGCCTTTATAAAGCAGGAGCAGCATACTTCTCCTCATTAATAGAGGAGAATAAGAAGAATCCTAGTTTTTTTTTTTAAACAGTTGCCAAACTGACCCAGAGCCATAGCTCTGTTGAACCGTCCATTCCACCTGCTCTCAGCAGCAATGATTTATGGGATTCTTTATAAATAAGATTGATCTTATTAAAAATCAGATCATCAGCACTCCTCTATCCGCGATTGGTTTGTCTCTGAAGGGGGGGGGGTCAGCATCTGAGGTAGTAATGGAATCTGAACCGGGTTTATTATATATTTGCTCCCAATCAGTAGAGTTATTAGACAGCATGGGATTAATCTCCACTGTTATGCTGATGATGCTAAGCTACATCTGTCTATAATCCAGATGTGAAACCATTACATGATGTAGATCTGTGACTGAATCGGTCAAATCTCTTCAGTCTATCAAAGGTGAACCAAGAAATTGGTAAAACATCTAAAGGATGAACTGAGGAAACATGATGTCACTGATTTCATGTTTAGCATTAGCATTAGCGGCCAGAGGTACGGGTTGGTCCTCTGATGGGTGGGTTGAAACACCTGCTGGTTTTAAGAGGGACAGTGAAGGCAACACCAGCAGTGTGGAGCGCTACAGAAGGACGGCCATTAATGTTCATTTATCACAGCAACAAAAACTTCATCATCAGAGGAGAAAGATTGATTTATGTCCCAGATGTGCTCCATCTAAGTGTTAAAACTACCTTTCTAAGTTTAGTTTTTCTATGTCTGCTTCTGTCTCCTTGAACCCCAGTGGGCCTCAGCAGATGGCCGCTCACACTGAGCCTGGTTCTGCTGGAGGTTTCTTCCTGTTCAAAGGGAGTTTTTCCTCTCCACTGTCGCTACAAGCATGCTTAGTGTGAGGGATTGCTGAAGAGTCAATGAGTCGATGCAATCAGCTGGTTTTCCTTAGATAGAAAACTTTGAATCAATCTGACTGGATGATCTGGTTGATGTGGATCTATAAAGTCACCTCAGATGATCTGATGTGAATCTATAGAAATAAAATGAATAGAATAGAATGAAGGTCAATACTTAACCAGACTCAGACTGTCAGTCTTTTCTGGAACATTAATGATCTGGAAACAACGTCACTGATTTATGGAAACTATCGTCACCAAAGTCAAACTTTAAATATTTACATTTTAATCCAGAAAACAGGAAGGACAGAAAGAACCGAAGGAACCTTCACAGGTTTTCATACATCCTAGATCCTTCCAGACCTGGAAATCAGATCCAGACGACGACACGGCAGACCCCCCCCCACCTGCTCTCTGTTCCCTATCCAAAGGCAGCTAGCAGCTCTGCCTCCCTTCAAGCTAACCAGGAGCAGCTCAGCCTAAATATAGTCAAAAACTCCCACAGGCTGGAGACGGCGTCCGTTAGCAGGCAGACAGACAGACAGACAGACAGAAGGCGGGGGGGTCCACCTACCCTCAGAGGGCTGCTGCTCCTGTGACCCTCGGTTCCCCATGAGGACTCCAGCGTACTGAGACACAAACGGGGTTCCTCCTCTGACCCCCTCAGCCTCCTCTCTGCTTTGCTCCTCCCCCATCGGGGGGTGGGAGAGTGTTTAAAATTAACCATGAAGCCACGAAGGATCACCTGACCAGAGGAGGTGAAGATCTAACACCTGAAGACAACCTGGACCAGTTTGGACCAGCATCTTCTGGACTCTGTCCCACAGAAACCAGCAGACATGAAGAAACTGAGAAATTAGTTTTTCATTTTTCCTAAAATCCCGATGTGCAGAAATTCCCTTCATACCAAACCAGACCTTCTGCGGGGGGGGGGACCCAGGAGGTCTCAGAGACCAAAAGACCTGCAGAACCCGTCGCTTCACTTAAGGTCAAAGTTCAGGCCTTCACCACCACAACTGGAACCAGAACCAGAACCGCTGCTGAGCAAAAGGACCGTGGAGGCTCGCCTGGGTCTGTTCAGCACATCTGTGTCTGCCCAAACATCTGGAGTAAGAGGAGCAGCAACAGTAGAACACGGCGGTGGCAGTGTGATGGTCTGGGCCTGTTTAGCTGTGCGAGTGCAGACTGAGCTTGGATCAGTTAACGCGCCGAGTTCGGCTCCACGCCACACTAGCACGGTTCCTGGCCTCCTAGTGGAGATCTGCGGTACTACAGCGGTACTACAGTCCCACCAGGACTGATACGACAAACGATGGTCTGATCAGGGCTTCCAGACGCAGGAAACAACGACTGACGTTGAGGTTTATCTCCCTGCTAAGCAGAATCATCGCTGGACACCGCGGCGCGGTAGGAAGCGAGCCTGACTGTAAGGAGCTGAGGCGCTCTGCTCATTGAGAACCGCGCCCAGCCCTACTGATCAACCAGGACAAGGTTAGCGTGGTTCGTTTCGGTCTGCGTCACCATGGTTACCGCTCTCGGACCGATCGGCAGTCTCTAAATGGTAGTGGCCTAGTCAAAGTCCTGAGCTGAACCCCCCTGACAGGAGCAGCAGCTGAGGTCATTTTTCTTCCTTTGGTTCCTTCCTCTCATATTTAAATTCATCCGATGAAACTCTTCGTCTGAAGACATTAAATCGGGAAGGAGGCGGAGCCTTTTCACACCACAGCGTTGCTTCATTGTATGCGATGTTCATCCTGACGGCGCCCACATGCGGCTACAGGAAGGTTCTGATGCTGCAGGCGTCCAATCAGAGCAGGCTGTGCTGGTTCTTCAGACGGAGGAGATGAACGGCCTGAAGCCCAAAGGCTGGGATGCTCAGCGTGAGACTAAATCATGGCGGATGCATCGTTGCATCAGTACGTCGGATCACGGTCAGGACGGGTCATGAAGCGTGTGACGAGGCGGGGCGCGTCTCTACTTGTCTGCATTCAGGGTTTCAGGAGAGCAGGGAGCAGGCTGCATGGTGCTGAGGGAAGCTACGCAGCTCATCCTCTCTGAAGTGACTGCTGAGGTCAGAGGAGTCCAGGTAGAAGTGGAGCATCAGAACCGTTTCCAGATGTTGCAGACAGACGAATTCTGCCGTCTGCTCTCCCACAGCATCATACTGCCACCACCAGGTTGTAGGACAGACGGCCTCCTCACAGCAATCTCTTTCTACATGGAAGCCCAACGTCTGGATCATCTCTGATCTAAGGCAGGGCGCCACCAGGGGGCAGGTGGGAGTGGCCATGGCCACCCTAGGCTATGCCCTGGCCCCCCCCACTGGCCAGTGTAGATTGTAGTAGCATGGGTTTAGCGTTTCCCCCCATTATGCACCCGCTCTCCCTGTCCTCCCCCCTCCCCTACCCCATATCAGCGAGCGGTGCTGATGGCGCTTCAGCCGCGCTCGCTGTAACGGCGAGGAAGGTGTAACGCTAACGGCAAGTAAATAAGTCGATTCATTTGTTAGTGAAAGAAAAGGGGGAAATATTAAGGAGGAGGAGGAGAGGATGGAGGAGGAGGAGGAGAGGATGGAGGAGAAGGAGGAGAGAGAGGAGGAGAGAGAGGAGGAGAGAGAGAGAAGGAGGAGAAGGAGAGAGAGAGAGAAGGAGGAGGAGAGAGAGGAGGAGAGAGAGAGGAGGAGAGAGAGAGAAGGAGGAGAGAGAGAGAAGGAGGAGAGAGAG